CAAGGAAAATCTGCCTCAGGATTATGCCCGGATCTTTCAGTTTGAGGACTTCTCCAGAACTAGGAAACGGATCTTTAAGGAGATTGGGGAAAAGGAATCTGAAGGGGCTGAGGTACTCACCTTGTTGTTGTTCAGTCATTTTTTCAGTCATGTCTGACTCTTTGTTCCCTGCTTGGGTTTTTTAGGCAAAGGTGCTGGAGTGGCTTGCCATTTCCTTCTCCAGCTCCTTTTTATAGATAAGAAAACTGAGGCCTTTCTGACTCAGGCTGGGCTCTCTGTGCACTCTGGCGCCCCCTAGCGGTCCATGCCCATCTTAGCTTTTCCCTAACTAGTCCTTCCCTTGCCAGTGCTTCTTTAGCTGTCCCCTAAAGTCCTGGAGAGGCGCCACGGAGGAGGGAGGAGGGGAGAAGCTCATGGTGTTGGCTGAAATGTCTGAACCTGATTGAGACATCTTTGTGATGTGGCACCTCTACGCCCTGAAGCTTCTCAAAGGCCGGGGTGGATGGTGCTTGTCTAGATGTGTGGACCCCCCACCCACCCACACTGGGGGTGTCACCCCGACACTGGGCTTGCCTTGGTTCTTCTTGGCAGGTTGGCTGGTTTGTGACCCTGCACGTTTGTGGAGTCCCTGCCTCGGTGGGTGAGAGCTTCAGGCAGGGGGCTCCTCTGGTCATGTTTTCCCTGCTACCACATGAACAGAAGGTGAGTGTCCTAGGAGGTGGAGGAGGGTCTGTCCTTCCCTTTGTCCAGCCTTCTGCTGGGAACCTGGATCTCCTTTTCTAGGATTGTGAATAGATTGTCCTTAGGGCTTATTACTACGTGACTGCCTCAGTTCCCTGAGCTCAGGGCTACAGATAATGGAGAAGCCAGTGATGGTTTAAGCCAGAATGTCTGAACCTGTCTGAAGCATCTCTGTGATGCGTATTCTGTGTGGCTCTGAGGCTTCTTTCTCTGAGGTTAGTCTCTGCGTTTGTATCTGCTCTTGTCATGAGGTGGCACTATTTTTATTAATTTATTTTTATTTTTAAACAATCACTTCCATAAGCTTTTATTTTGTTTTGTTTTTGCATTTTGGTGAGGAAATCAGGCTTAAATGACTTGCCCAGGGTCACACAGCTAGTGTCAAGTGTCTGAGGCTGGATTTGAACTTAGGTCCTCGTGATTCTAAGGCCGGAGCTCTATGTACTGTGCCACCTAGCTGCCCCCTCCCTAAGCTTTTGAGTTTTACATTTTTCTCCCCCTCCTTCCCCACCTTCTTCCCCAAGATGATGTGCAGTCTAATATAGGCTCTACATATACATTCCTATTAAACATAGTTTCACGTTAGTCATGTCCTAAGGAAGAATTAAAACCAATAGGAGGAACCACTAGAAAGAGGAAACAAAATGGAAGAAAAAAAAAAGCAAATAGTATGCCTTGATCTGCATTCCAACTCTATAGTGCTTTCTCTGGATGTGGATAGCATTTTCCATCATGAGACTTTTGGGAATGGCTTAGATCCTTGTGTTGATGAGAAGGGTTAAGTGTGTCAAAGTTGGTCATCGCACAAAGTGGCTGTTACTGTGTACAGTGTTCTCCTGGTTCTGCTCACTTTACTCAGCATCAGACCATACAAGTCTTTCCAGGTTTTTCTGAAGTCTGCTGGCGTATCATTTCTTATAGCACAATAGTATTCCTTTACATTCATATACCACAGCTTGTTCAGCCTTTCCCCAATTGATGGGCATCCCCTCAATGTCCAATTCTTTGAGGTGGCACCATTTTTAAAAGGCACATGCCAGAATGACAGATTTTTCTGTCCAGCCTGGTAGCAGTAGTACAGAGTTATCGGCTGGGCAGAGGCAGGTTGGCTGAATGTTTTGGGTCCTGGAGCAGCTGTGGTGAGAGGCTGGCAGTGACTCCACGCCCCTGATGCCACTTAGGAGTGATTGTGACCCCCACTTTGAGGGGAAGGGCATTTACCCTCCACCAGATGATTTGAGAGTGGATTCCTGGCCCTTGGTTGTGAAGGTGAGTAGCAGAGGGGGCGGGTGGAGTGGCATTCAACCCAGGGACTCGGCATGCGGGCCTTAAGAACGTATGTAGAATTCTCTGTGCTATTCATTGGCTCATCTCCTACATCCCATGAGGCTGGGGGTTCCTCACTCGCCCTTGACAACATGTCTACCTTCCTGATCATGCAGATGTCGGTGCTGAATATGGTGGTGAGGAGACACCCTGGTAACCTGGAGCCTGTGAAATCCAAAGAGGAGATGATCTTCCATTGTGGCTTCCGACGCTTCCGGGCCTCGCCTCTGTATTCCCAGCACACTGCAGGTCTGCTGCTGCCAAGGGAGGGTGCTGGGCTCCTGGGCCATTTCTGGGGCCTTGGTGGCCTTAAAGAATAATAGCGAATTGATAAATGTTTTAGTGCGTTATTTCATTGGCTCTTCACAACAATTTTATGAAAGTTCTGTGGCTGTTGTTATCATCCCTGTTTTACAGAAGAGGGACCCAAGGCTTTCTCAGGGTAACAGAGAATAAGTGTCTGAAGGGATAAGAGCCCAGCCTTTTCTGACCCAGTCTTCCATAATCCCACAACTCCATGGGGTCAGTGTTCTGCCATACTTGCCTCTCTTATTAGGAATAGGATCTGGAAACAAGGGACTGTGGAAATGAGTTATTTCTGTGGTTGAAATAACATGTAGACTCCTGAATATCATATGGAAACAGGTGTAAAGATGGGAGGTGATTTGTGCAAGGGCCAGGAACAGAATGGTCACTCTGATGGGGGCAAGGTGATAGGGGTGAGCTGGTTGTGGTCAAGAAAAACAGCTTCTTGCTCTTCAGGAATCCTCGAACTTCTTCCTTCGTTCCCAGTGCCCTGGGCCTGTGGAGCTCATTTAGAGGAAGCTGCCCGCACTGAGCCAGGGGAGCACAGGCTCTTGGGGGCTGTGAATGAACTACTTACTGCCCCTCAGCCTATTGTTTTCAGAGTACAAGCCCCAGATGCTATTTAATTTTTTTTCTGTGTTAGCGGATAAGCACAAGGCTGAGCGGTTCCTTCGTTCTGATGTGGCCTTGGTGGTGACAGTTTACGCCCCGATCACCTTCCCTCCGGCCTCAGTCCTGCTCTTCAAACAGAAGCCAGATGGTGAGCCAGAGCCTAGAGGGAGGCTGCAAGGGGAGGGGAGCTACCATGGATGAGGATTGTCCAATTGTTAGATGTTCAGAGCATTATTATTATTAGATAGAGAGAGGAACAGGCTGGGGACCTGGTCATCTCGGCCCTTTGCATCTTCACTATCGGGGGGAGGGGTGGGGGTGGAGCTGCCCAAGGGTCTGAACCTGTCCAGAAGGGGTGTTCTTGGGCCTTGGGCTCTGTGGGGTAGGACAGAGGGTGGGAGAGGCCCCCAGGCTGGCCTGTTTCCTCCTTTGGAAAGGGATCAAGGTCTGAAATGGCCTGGGGAGGAGATGGGAAGCCCTGTCATTTGGTGGCTGCCTTATTTCTGCTGCTCTGCATGGATTACTGAACTCATGTTGACTCCTGCAGTGATTTTTGTCGTCCTCCATCCCCATTAGGCAAGCACAGCCTCATTGCCACAGGGTCCCTCCTGTCTATGGATCCAGACAGGATGGTCATTAAGAGACTTGTGCTGAGTGGGCATCCTTTCAAGATCTTAACCAAAATGGCAGTAGTCCGTTACATGTTCTTTAACCGAGGTAGGTGGGAGGGGGAAGGAAGGGAAGAACCTGGTAGCCTTTGGGTACTAGAGTTTTAATTTGGTGGGGAGGGTGTCACTGACTAACTCAAAGGCCCATTTGCAAAATCTCACCAAGAGGTAGGTCCACCTCCTAACCTGGGCCTTGGGGGATGCCTCTTACCCTTGCTGGGCCTTGGTTTCCTGAACCCTAAAATAAGTGGGGTGAACTGGAGGATGTTTATGGTCTTTTCTAATGTTAACTTCTGGGCAGGTGAACGCCCCAGTGGGGAGGCAAGAGTTTCTCTTGCCTTGATCTCACAAAGGCCCCTGCCTTGCCATTCTCTCGGGCTTCTAGCCTGCAGGTGGCTCTCAGCAGGTGCTGGATCTTGCTTGTGCTCGTTGGTTTATTTTATTGGGGGGATCCCGTACATTCTCTGACCTCCTTGCTGGCACTCTTGCTTTCCTATCCCATTTATTCCTTCATTCCCATTTCCATGCTTTTGTGTGTATTTCTTCCTCACCCCTGCTTAAAATCCCTCGTTTCCTTCAAAGCTGGGTCTAAATACCATATTTCCTGCTTCCCCCAGGTGCCAGAGATCCCCCCCCAAAGGGCTTTGTATTCTGTAATTGTGTGCATGGCCTGCAAGAGATGATGCTCACTAAAATGCTTCTTCGTCAATTATCTTTTAATCTTAGAGGACGTGCTGTGGTTTAAACCAGTGGAATTGAGAACCAAGTGGGGTCGCAGAGGACACATCAAGGAGCCACTTGGTAAGAGGGGCTGGTCCCTGGAAGTGACAGTATTTCCTGCAGCTGAGCATGTGACGGGGCAGTTTTGCTGTCGCTTTTGGGGTAGCTTTAACATTGGGTGTGATATCTCAGGAGCCATAGGTAAGGTGGCCCGCCTCACAGCTCATGCTGCAGGGTGTCTTCCTTTAGAACCACCTCCTGCTTGTTCAGGACTGGAGGGGCCTGAGAGGCCATCTGCCCTCCCTTCTCCCCACCCTCCACCCCTGTTTCTACAGAGGAGGAAACTGAGGCAGAGGTAAAGTGACTTGTCCAGGGCTACTTGCCTGAGCTCGCTCTTTGCTTTCCAGGTACACATGGCCACATGAAGTGCACATTTGATGGACAGCTGAAATCTCAGGATACTGTGTTAATGAATCTGTACAAACGTGTTTTCCCCAAATGGACTTATGATCCCTATGTGCCGGAGCCCCTGCCCTGGTCAAAAGATGAAACCTCCCCAGAGCTAGAAGTGGACATGGAGTAAGGGCTCACTGAAGGGTGTGAGCTGTTTGGGGGCGGATTCTGTTCCCCTTTGCCAAGTGTGGCCCTGGTGCCTGGCCTGAGCTCTCTCCTCCCCTGGGGCTCCTAAAGGAAAGGGATGGGCAGAGGGAAAGCACAGGCGTCTCTTCATCAGTTTAGAGGGTGCTGAGCCTCCTCACGCTCCGGTTGCTTCAGCCATCTCAGGGAGGTCAAGTCCACGTTCCCCCCACTGAGAACCACACAGACGTCTAGGGCAGCGGGCACCACCTTCTGGAACCGATCGCCCAGCACAGCAGCTACTCCCACTGCGGCTGTGGGCTCAATGAGAATCTTCATCCTCTCCCACACCAGCTGGGTGGCGTGCTGTGGACCAGAAGAGAAAGCCTGTGTTGAGCAGGGGACAAGCAAGAGGGTGGGCGTGCTGCGCTGCCCTGCCCTGCCCAGCCCAGGGGCATTTCCTTGCAGCTTTGTGTTCTGGCATTTCCACCCTACAGCTCAATAGTGGCATCATGATCCTGCTCCCCTGGAAGCTGTGTCCGTGCTTTGTGCACTGAGCACCTGACATCCCTGCCCACAGCAATGTAGGCCCAAACACTCCCCCAGGTGCCTCATCAGTCATTTTACAGAGGAGACAACTTGAGCCCTGAAGGATGAGACTCACGTGAGGTCATAAAGAACCCAAGTCTTTGGCATCCCGCCCCTGCCCCATTTCCCAAGGTTTCTTGCCTTAATTTCATCCTCTGTGACAGTGAAGACTTCATCCACCAGGTCCCTTATAATAGACCAAGTGTTGGGCCCAATGCTTGATTTAACCCCGTCTGCTATGGTGACTGGTGGAGAAGGGTTAGGGGTTAGCTCCCCTTTAAGCTTGGACTGGAAGCAGTCGTCTGCGTTACAGGGCTCGGCGGCATACACTTTCACCTCTGGTCTCAGAGCCTGTCAGGAGAGCACTGGATGTCTGACACTGCCCATGGCACCAGGATAATCCCAGCCTCCGTTGCTGTTTGTACCAAGAGCCCCCGGGACCCTCCAAAGGATGAATGTGACAATAAAGCACACTGCCCTGTCTGGTGCCTCTTTGGGGCTTTTGAGTTTAGCATTTATTCTGAGTCATCTGAAGCATGGAAAAGTGAACCCCGGCGAGAGGTGGGCCAGGTAGCTCAGGTCAGCTCCAGTGTAGGGGTATGGGAGCGAGCGTGCTTGGGCAGAGCTCTGGAGCTCACTGCCAGCAGGCAGCAGTTGCCTTTCCAAGGTGTGGTCAGCATATTGCCTCATGAGGAAATTGGATGGGGCAGGAAGGGGCCAAGGGAGAGAATGGCTGCTGGGGATAAATGCCAAGTTAAACTTGAATAGATGAAGCTACACACAGGTCTTGTCTTGTAAACAGAACTACTCGGTTCCTGAATTAGGAGTCTTTGTCTTTCCATCATTGCATATGGAGATAAAAGGAGGTGTCTCAGACTTGTTTTAATTTTTGTTTCCTTGACTAGATGAAGGGTCTTACCTTGACTGTAACTGCTATTCCTGAGATCATCCCTCCACCCCCTACAGGTACCACCAGGGCATCTACCATGGGAACCTATGGAGTGAAAAATACAAAGTATACATGGGTAGACCAAACTTGTACAGGTACATCCTGGTTACATCATGAGACAGCCATCTGTAACGAATGAACAGCATCAGGCTGAGCACAAAACCCCAGCAGCTGCTGGTGTACTCCCCCAGGGGCATCCCAAGGCTCCCTCACCTGCTCAAGCACTTCCAGAGCAATGGTGCCATGGCCCGCCATCACAGCTGGGGACTGGTTGGGGTGTACCATCGTCCCTTCAGTTTGCTTCACAATTCTTGCTGCCACAGTTGTTCTTGACTAGAGGAAGAGAGAGAGAGAGAGAGACCTCCATCTGTTGGTAATGGCAACAATAATAACCCACCATGAAAATAAAATCATGGGCACTGGCTGCATGATAAAAGAGCTGGCCCCGTTACCTCATCGCTGGGCTCACAGTCTATTATGGCAGCTCCATAGCCCTGGATTGCTGACTTCTTACAGGAAGGAGCTGTTCTTGGGACCACAACATAGGCAGGAATTCCTGAGGAACGAAAAATGCCCATAGTCACTGGAGCAGGTAGCATGATGTGGGAGATCTGGGAGTTAGGCCTGGGTTCAAAGCCTGGCTCTTATACCTGGGTTCTTTAAACTTGCTGGACTTCCTGATTCTTTATCTATAGAATGATGGGGTTGGGCTAGAGCAGGGGTTTTTAATCTGGGGTCTGGAAACTTGGTTTGTTTTTTTTTTTTAATGTTTTGAGGACTTTTCAACATAATTGATCTCTTTGGTATCCTGTATATTCCATTTTATTTTACTTTATGCATTTAAAAAGCGTGCTTCTGAGCCTGACTGCCAAAGGGGCTCGGGATGTGAGAAAGACGAAGAGCCCTGGGCTGGGACCCGTTCTAGGACCCTCTTCAAGCTCAAAGTCTAGGATTCTAAGCTGTTTACAAACAGCTTACACAGTGCGAAATTTAGGGTCCTTCTAATTAATCACCATTCCTCTTAGACTACTGATACTTGCATATAGGGCTTCAGATTTGGCACAACATGTGACCTAGACATCCCCTCCCTAGAGAATCAGTAGTCCCTGGGAGTTAGGCACTGTGGATGGCTGTACTACAAAGGAAGAAACTGAGGTTTGGAAAAGATGTTAGAAGCAGGATTTGAACTCAGGCCTCGCTGGATCCAAGTAAAGCACTCGATAGGGTTATGAAGTGCTTACTGTATACCAGGCATTGTGCTAGGTGCTAGGGATGCAAAGACAAAAAAAAAAAGAATCCCTGTTCTCAAGAAGCTTACATTCTGCTTGGGGGGTGGGGGGGGGAAGGGTAGATACAGAATAAAGAGAAAGGGAGGGAGGGAATTGGGAGAAATTCTCTGTTCTAGAAATGTCACTGAAATATTAATGGTTGCTCTCCTAGCACTACAAAGTTTAAAAATGGTTTTCTTACAATGCTGGGGAGTAAGGGGGGGTGAGGGGTACTAGGATTCTCTCCATATTAGAGATGAGCAAACAGGGTCAGAATCATGATCTGAAGCCAGGTCTGACCCCTTTCCCAGCCCTCTTTCCAAGTGCTCAGATGGCAGTGGTCCATCCTCATACCTTTCAGTCTGGCTGCATAACTGAGTGCCTGGCCGTGGTTCCCACTGCTGTGAGTGACCACAGCTTTGGGTTTCTTCCCATCTCCTGAAGTGCTGGAAGTCAAGTTCCAGATGGCATTGAGGGCCCCCCGGATCTATAGGCAGAAAGAAATGTGTGTGTAGTGTCTGAACCAAGAGCTGCTCACACAAACAATACCGCTGGGAGCCAGGGAGAGTCTCATAGGATCTTACTGAGGAGGTGACAGAGGCTCATTGTCACAGAGTCTGCATGAGTGACAGGTATAGGGCTGGAAGGGGCATCAAAGGTTGGAGGAGGAAACAGGCCCGGAGAGGGTGACTTGCCCAAGATAACCTGTTAGAGAATGGCAGAAACAAGGCCGTTTAATAAATTTAGAGCCAGGCAGGACCCTGGTTTGATTCAAGAATTAGTCTTATTCCCTTTACAAATGAGGAAACTGAGACCCAGACACAGGCAGTATGGGGATGAGGCAGGATTTGAAGCCAGAACTTCACCAAGGGGATCTCAAAAAACTTCTGGCCAATAGTGCTTTAGAGGTAGTGTAGCCTAGTGGATAGACAGCTGGCCTTAGAAGGCCTCTGCTCAACTTCCATCGCTGGCCCATCCTGGCTGTGTGAGCCTGGACAAGTTGTTGGATCTCTCTGGACCTGTTTCTTCATATGGAAAATTGAGGGAGAGGGAGAGATACACTGTGACCTGAGTCCCTTCCTGCTCTAAATCTGTCATCCTCTGACATCAGGTCTTGAGTTTGTTTTGTTATTATTTGTTGATTTTTTTGACTGCTTGCCAGGAATTTGCTTATCTTCTACAAGTCCGGCATGTGTGGCTTTCTGAACTCATGCCTCCCCTTTTTACAGATGCCTGTGTGCAAGGCCAGTTAGGGCGTATTTTATCTAGAAATAGTGATAAAACTGGAAGCCCAGGGTCACAGACTCTTCTGTCCTATGGGAACTGGCCTCTCTGGGAAAATCCTAGCTGTAACAGTGGCTTTCACCTAGCCAGTCCCCAAGGGGTTGGGGGGATGGGAGGCTCTGGGTCTCTTAGCACTTGGGGGTCTTCACTGCTGCCCTGCATTCCAGGCTGCTTACTGATGGGGTGTGCCCCCCATGGGTGAGACTGCTCAGGTCCCTAGTCCATGGCCTGCAGTGAAATGCTCTCTGCTTATGGGGCCGCTGGCTGCCCCCTGCTTCCCTCTAACATCTTAACACTCTTTTTCACGTAGTCCCTACTGATTTATGGATTTCTTGTCTCTTTCATTGAACTGAAGAAGCCCGTGGATGGGAGGGATTGTTTCTTGTATCCTCAGAGCCCAGCACTATGACTGGTACTCAGTAGGTGATTAATAAATGCTTGTCAGTTGATTGACATCTCACCCTGACACAAGGAAAACTCCTTGAGATCAGGGACTGTTCCATTGTTTTCGTTTTTATGCCAGTGCCTAGAACACAGTAAGTACCTAATAAATGACTGTTGATTCATTTACTGGTGTTGCCCACCCCTATAGAATGGAATCTGGAGAGCAGGGACCGTTCCTTTTTATTTGCTTGTCTTTAGCTACTTTGGCGGCAGTCAGTTCTGAACACTCCCGTGTGCACTTCCCAGGCTGACAGACTCTCCACGGGGTTCTGTCCAGCTTACAGAACAATTGTTGGACTGACTGGCTGGACCTCTGCATTCAAATCCATAAGCCATCAGTGTGGCTTGTCCATTAGGCTGATCCACCTGCAATGTTTTTCATATTCATGGCCTTATACTATTGCTACTGTAATCCCCACTTTATAAAGAAACTGAGGCCAAGAAAGTATAAAATTAGTTACTGTCACTGCTGGGGTTTGAACCCAGCACCTCCCTGACTCCATGGGCAGGGCTCTATTAAGCTACTCTATGAGAGGTTCTTGGGTCCTTCAGCATTCTGTCATGCATTACCAGTGAAATACCTGGCCTGTCCATCTGTTCCTCCTTCCTCTTGCTAAACAATTATGAGGTCAGAAGATCAGAGATTTACAGCTAAAAGGGACCTCAGAGGGCACCACATCAAACCTCAGGGAAACTGAGGCCCAGAGAAGGGAGCAGAGACTTAAAGCTAGAAGAAATATTAGGAGCCGTTTAGATTCATTTCCCTCATTTTACAGGTGAGGAAACTGAAGTACAAAGAGGTGATTTCCCCAGGATCATTTAGCTATTAAGTATTTAAGGCAGGAAGGATGTGAACCAAGGTCTTCCTAACTCCAAACCAGTGCCCTGTTTACTATACCACACTGCCCCTTGGGTCAGTACCTTTTCCAATCATACACTTCTGGGGTGATTTCTTTTACGCTTCTTTTACGTCAGTGAGAGAATGGAAAGAATGTCACAGTCAAAGACCTGGGTTTGATTCTCACCTCTGCTGGTTATTAAGTGACCTTGGATAAGTCACCTTTCTCTGCCTCAGTTCTACTTACCTGTAAAATGAAGGGAATTGGAGTAGATGGTATCTAAAGTCCCTTCCAGCACTAAATCTCTGTTCTCTCTCTCTGGGCCTGTAAAATAAGGGACCTAGAGCAGAGATGTCAAACTCCCCAGACTGATGCGGAACCAAATTAAGATAAAAATAAATACAGCACAGATAATGTTAATTTGTGGCTTTCTAATTCAAGGGAGCCATTTCTATTTGACGTGACTGGCTTAGAGGATCTCTGGTCCCTTGGACTTCTAAATCATCTTATACCACACTGTGCCTCAGAGGATGCTCCCCCTTCCTTTCCATGTATTTCAGGCCTTTCACTAGGAATGGGCTGGGATTCAACGTAGAATCACCACAGTACCTATTACGCTGGCCACCACTAAGGGCCCATGAGGAGAATGGGGTCTACCTAGCTCCGGTGAGAGGGGAGGATCAGGATCCACCCAAGGTGGGTCTCTGAGGCCTCAGTTTTACCTTAAAGGACCCAGTCTTCTGGAAGAATTCACATTTGAAGAAAAGCTTCCGGCCGGCCAACTGATTCAAAATGGAACTTGTGAGGATGGGGGTGACGTGCACGAGGTCCTCAATGTCACAGTGAGCTTTTTTAACATCAGCCAAAGAGATGCAGTACTGAGAGCACATGTCTGTGGTGGCCTAGGCAGAAAGGGTCAGGTTGGGTCAGATGTAGAAGGAAGCCAGGGCATTCCCCTGGGAGCTGCGCTGTCCTAACATGACAACAGTAACAGCTAACATTGATATGATGCCTACTATGCACCAGGCACTGGTACAAAGCACTTTATCTTATCTGATCACCAAAATAACCTTGGGAAATAGGTGCTATTATTGTTTCCACTTTACAGTTGAGGAGACTGAGGAAAACAGAGGTTAAGTGACTTGCCCAGGGTCATAAATCTAGTAAGTTTCTGATGGAGGATTTGAACTTAGGTCTTCCTGACTCCAGGCCTGGCACTCGACCACCTAACTGCCTCTAACTAATAATTAATGATGATGATGGCTCCCTCTAATTAACACTGATGATGATAATAATATCTGACACATAAAGTTCTTCACCGCTGTTATTTCAAGCAAGCCCAACAACAGGCAGTGTGATGTAGTAGAAAGTACTTTGAGTCATGCTTGGATGTCACTGCCTCAGTTTCTTCCATCTGCAAAAATGAGGGGACTGGACTATATGGCCAAAGGTCTCTCCTCACCCTAGATCTATGACCCTGTACTCCTATGTGCATGGTCCTGAAGCAAGTCACTTTCCCTGCCTGGGCCCATTTCCTCATTTGTAAAATGAGGATACTTCTCAATGATAATACCTCCCAAGTTTTTATGAAAATCAAATGGTATGATAACTTTTAAAACACCAGATAAAATGTAAAAATAGTTTCATTTTCTCAATCAAGGGATATCAACAGGACTTTTTTGGGACTTTATAAAGGATCCATCTTCCTATTTGAAAAGACTGGGACTCACTGCTTGAGAGCCAAGCAACTTCTGTGCTGATAACCTGGCCTAGGCACTAACCAATAACTTCTGGAAATGTTCCCAAATCCCCAAGAAAGACAGAGGTATGAACATCCTGCCTCCAGAAGAATTCCTACAGATTCAAGGATACAGGGTGTGAAATTCCTTTTATCTTCGATAACCCACTAGAAACTCTGGAGCCAATCTCTGGGGTTTTTGTTATTGCTGTTATCTGGTAGATTAATAATAATAATAACAATAATAATAATAATAATAAAAATGATAGCTTCAACCCGGTTAGTCTCCTTTTCCTTACAGTCAGCCATCACACACTTGTGCTAGCCTTGGACTGGGTTGTTTAAAAGAGACAAGGGGCATTCATAGCAGAGACTACTCTGAAGTTGAGATGCAACAAAGTATGGGTTGATTCTCTGCTGCTTGTGCTAATTTTGGCCTAACAACTAACACCAAGAAAACACAAGTGCTCCATCAGCTATCATCACCCCATCCATACGTGGAACCATCAGTTACAGCAAATGGAGAAGTTTTGAATGCTGGGGATAAGTTCATTAAAGTTGGTAGTGTACTTTCCAGGGATGTACACATTGATAATGAGATTGATGCAAGAATTGCCAGAGCTAGCTCAGTGTTTGGGAGGCTCCATAGGAAAGTGTGGGAGAGAAGAGGTATTAGACTGACTACTAAACTGAAGAGCCGTTGTGCTGACCTCATTGTTGTATGCCTATGAAACCTGGACAGTATACCAGTGCCATGCCAGGAAACTCAATCACTTTCATTTGAATTATCTTAGGAAGATTCTGAAGATCACCTGGCAGGATAAGATACCAGACACTAAGGTCCTTTCTGAAACTAAACTGCCAAGCATTCAAACTCTGCTTCAAAGAGTGCAACTCTAATGGGCTGGCCACATTGTTCAAATGCAAAACGTATGCTTGCCTAAAAGACTATTTTATGGAGAACTTATACAGAGAAGCATTCACATGGTGGTTAGAAGTGATACAAGGACAGTCTTAAGGTCTCTCTTAAGAACTTTGGAATTGATTGTGTGACATGGGAGACCCTGGCACGGGACTGCTCAGCATGGCATGCCCTCGTCAGAGAAGGTGTTGTGCTCTGCAAAGAAAGCGGAATTGAAATAGCTCAAGAGAAAAGATATGCAAACTTTGAGAATTCACCCCAAATGTTCACATGGACTATTTGTGCCCGACCTGTGGTAGAACATCCCGAGTTCATATTGGTCTGATCAGCCACAGTTGGACACACTAAAACTGTCAATCTAGCATAGCAATGTCATCATGGTCCTCTTCGAAAACAAAGGCCAACAACCCTTCCAGGCAGTCATGAAGGGAGAAGAAAGGCACCAACCCCTAGAGACAAAGCAGGGTCCTGGAATCACTGGCCTCTAGAGTCCCTTCCCCCTCTAAATTTATGATCCTATAATCACCAAGAGCCGGATGGACTGGATTCTATAGAAAGATGGATGTTCATCTTCATGGCAACCAAGAAAAGAAAGAGCAGAGGCCTGAAGGAGCAATCTAGACTTATCCCTTCACTAATACTGTGAATCATATGGAATGTGCAGGCAGGGGAATGTGAGACTACTAGAGGCCAAAAGTGTCTTTCCACAAGAATAGAATTAAACATAACATTATATATTGATGTCTTATTAGTCTGATGAAATATGAACTGAGGGCTCTTTTCCCTTTTTTTTTTTAAGCTACTTAAAGAGGAGCCAGATTCAGATATTTCTAGGAGAAACCCTGGATCAGGGGCATGAGCTAGAGAAATGATTATGAGAAGCCCTCAAGATGAAAGCAATTTTGTGATGTCAAAACTGCTTTTTTTCCCCCCTTACCATGGTCACCAACCCTCTCATATATTATAAACATAAGGTCCTGGAGTTAAAGCTGGAAGGGCCCTCACAGGCCATCTAGTCCTACCCCATAATTGTAGATGAGGAAACTGAGTCTCTCAAGGTAAAATGACTTGCCCAAGGAAAATGACAGTACAGCATCTTGAAGCCTTCAGGTTTATTTGTATGCCACCTATCCCCATTCTTTCATCGGTATCACCCATCAGAATCTGCCTGACATAGACCAGGCAATTCAACGTTTGCTGAATCAAACTACTCTTAATTCTCACTGGTCGAGATGTGAAGTAAGGTTACTTACTGGCTGCCTGCCAGTAACCTTGGGAGGTAGATAGGGATTGGAGAATGGAGTGACTGGCCGGAGACAGTCAGCTAGCAAGTACGCTTCCAAGCTAGGGTCTGCACCCTGGGCTCCTTAATACCTTATCACATCTGCCTCTGTTAACCCAGCAATCACCCAACGGGCACTCTGGGCGGGGTATCTAGCTGAGCTGAGGATAGATACAAAGAATCGCTACCTACTGGAGGTTACATAGTAGCTGCATGCGGGAGGCCCCCCTCGAGAGGGAGCGCACCGCTAGTTGTCAGGCTCAGGATCTTATTAAGGGTGAGATCTCGGGCATCTGCCCCATGGGCTGCAGGAGGGCGGGTGGGAGTGGGGTGTCCTGCCTCTCACATTCGAGCACTTGGGTGCACAGCGGCTCGTCCGACCCCCCAGCGTCGTGACCTCCAAAGCTACCCCGGAGGAATCTGGGTCACTGCTTTACGCTCACAGAAGGGACAGCCCCAGTCTACGAACCGTCCTCAGACATTCCCGGCGAGCCACGGCTGGAAGGGGGCGGGGAGGGGGGGTGTTGGGCCACCGCAGGACGGCTGGCCCTGAACTTCGCTCCGGCCTGCTCCGCCCCGCCCCCCGTGACAATCGCCCCCTCTCCGAAACTGCCATTCCTCAGGTAAAAGTGAAGGAGTACTCGCCCCTCCGCACCTGAGGCAGCCGAGGATTCCGGGCCCGGACCGAAGGCCGGTCGCCTGCAACCCAAGTACGCGAGCACGCATGTGTAGCCCTCCAGCCGCCGAAGCCACTCACCTTCCCCGGCCGTCCTGCTCGCGCATGCGCCTCTCCGCCTCCTTCTCCGGAGCGCGCTCGCGCTTCTTCAGGCCTTCCCCTCCCTCGCGGGCCACCGTACCGCCGTCCGGGGTGGGAGGAGTAGGAGGATGGGTGTGTGCGCGTGCGTGCGTGCGTGCGTGCGTGCGTGTGTCAGTCAGTCAGTGTGGGTCTGTGTGTGTGTCTGTAGCTGTGTGTGGGTCGCTCGGTCGGTCGGGGCGGGGCGGGGCGGGGCGGGGCGAGGGAGGGGGCAGCGCGCGCCGCCCGCCCGTCCGCCCGCCCGCCCGTCGTGGTTTCCTGGCTGCGCGCGGCGGCGGCGGAGCCGGAGCAGGAGGAGCAGCAGCAGCAGCGAAGATGGCGGAGGGGCTGGAGCGCGTCCGGGTCTCGGCGGCCGAGCTGCGGGGGATCCTGGCCACCCTAGCCCCGCAGGCGGGAGCCCGAGGTGAGCCGCCCCGCGCCGCCCCGCCCCGCTCTGGGGCTGGGCCGGCCCCTGCGAGCCCCCGCCCCCGGCGCCCTCCGGGGAGGCTGGCGGCGGCCGCAGGGCCGGGAGGGGAGGGCTGGGGAGGGACCGAGAGGGGCGGGGGCTCGAGCCGCCGGTTGGGAGCTCCCCGCCTGCCCCGCCCGCTCCTCCGGCCTTCCGCCCCCCCCCCCAGTTTGGAGGGGGGGGGACCGAGGCCAGCCCGGGCGCCTCCTCCCCTGCCCCGCCCCTCCCAGGGCCCGCCCCCTCTTCCTCCCGCGCCTGTCGTCTCTCCTCACCCCAGGCCCTGCCTCCCCCTCCCAGGTATCACCTCTTCTTCCCTCACCTCCCTCCTCCTAATCTCTCCTCTCCACCCAGGTCCTACCTCCTGTCTGCCCCCCCTTCTACCTTCTCTTCAGGTCCTAACTCTCCCTCGGGTCCCCACCTCCTCTTTCCCCTCTACCTCTTTTTTCCCTCCTCCCCCTCCTTATTTTACCTCTTCTCCTCCCCCACAGGTTGTACCTCTTCTCCCACATCCTCCCTTTTCTCTTTACTCGTCTTTTGTCTACCCTCCCAGGTTCTCTCTTCTTCCTGGCCTCTTTTTCTCCCTTATCTCTTCTCTTCACCCTCAGGTCTTACTCCCCCTCCTTCCAAGTCCTACCTCTCCCCAAATTCTACCTCTTCTCCCACCTCTTCCCCTCATCAAGTCCTACCTCTTCTTCTGCCCCCCTCCAACTTCCGCTCCTCCTAGCTCTCTTCTCCTTTCCCCCAACACCTTTTTTCCTCCCTACATTCCCAGGCCTGCCTTCTCTTCTCCCTGCACCCCCACCCCCTCTGGTCCCATCTTCCTGGCATCTCTTCTGCTTCTGAAAGAAAAAAAAAGTCAGTGAAAATAGAGAGGCAGAGCAACCTGTGACAGCCTCCTCACTTCTTTAGTTTTTTTTCAGAGAGCAAATGGGTCCTCAGAAGGGCTTGCCCCAAGTAAAGCCTTTGCCCTCAGTGTCCCCAGGAGCACATGCCGCACACCTTCCCTGGATGTTGTGGGAGGCTGGGCCGGCCCACTGCCACTTGGGTGCCTGGGAGCCCCGAAGCAGCGCTTCCCAGGGTGGGGGCCACATAGGAAATGGCCTGTGGGCCTTTGCAGTTGGGTTCACTTGAACTAGTGTTTATTAAGTGTGTTTTACGTACAGGGCAGCGTCATTCTAGACATGGGGACTATGATCCCTGCTTTCCAGGGACTGGTTGTGTTTTATTAGGAAATAGAATATGTTAACAGAGGAGTCAAAACAAGATAATAGGAGGGAAAAAGCACTAACAACCAGGCATAGGGGCAGGATACCTGGAAAGAAGCTGGTGAGTCCTGAGATGGGGAGGGCGTCCTGGGCAGGCCAAAGAGTTGGGAGCTGGAAGTATGTGAGTTTAGAAGGATAAGTGCCGGGAGGGGGAGTAGTGTGGAGTGAGTCTGGAAAGATAGACTGGGGCCAGGTTGTGTGGGGCTTTAACTGATTATCTGAGGAAGAGGTCATTGGGAGCCACTGAAGCTTCTTGAGAAGGGGAGGGGTATGGTCAGATCTGGGCTTTTGGCAGCTCTGTGGAGGTTGAAAGCAGAGGAAGACTAGAAGCAGAGCAGTCAGAAGGCTAGTGCAGTAGTCCAGGAGAGTGACAAGATGAGGGCCTGAACCAGGGAGTAGCTCTGAGCAGAGAGAAGGGATCAAAGTTAGGAGATACAGAGGCAACATTAGTAACACGAGGGAGGGAGGGAGGAGGAAGAGCTGGGAATAATTCTGAAATTGTAAATGTGGCTGACTGGGTGGTTGTTTCTTCTTGTGTTTGAGATGACCATGGGACATCCAGGTGAAGTTATCTAGGGGACAGTTGGTGATGTGGGACTTGAGCACATGGATGTATAGATTGATACTTGAACCTGTGGAAGCCTGTGAAGCCAGGACGAAAGAAGAGCGGAGGAGGGAAAGGGCCCAGGACAGAGACTTCATGATTAGGCAGTGGCATGTGGACAGTGACCCAGCAGAGGGGACTCGGAAGGAGTGATCAGACATGGAACAGGAGGTGTGGGAGAGGACAGCGTCTTGAGCCCAGGGGAGAGAGAGAGCCACAGAAGAGGGGCTGGTCAGTGGTACCCAAAGTTGCAGAGAGTTCATGGAGAGCATGGATTGAGGAAGGCCCAGGGGTTTTGAGCAACAAAGAGATTTGGAGTGAAACAAAGGCTGTAAAATTGGGTTTCGTTGCTCACTGATTTGTCTGCATCTCTGCTTTGCAGTCTGAAAAGAATTTCTTCTTCCATCCTTCTTTGGGATGAACTGTGGGGGTTGTCCTTGAAAGTGATTTAATGGCCTTCTGCATTTGTTGCAGCAGCCCTGTTCTGTAATTCTTTTTATTCTAATGTTTTTCGGCAACAGAAATGCCTTTTTTCTAGTTCTGTTACTGTTTGAATGACTAATCAGTGGTCAATAGTTGGACTAAAACTCTGGAACTGACTGTTACTGTTCCAGGGCTGTCAGGATTAAGCGTGTCTAGAACAACTCTGCTGTTTCCGTAGCACCTTTCTTCTGAGTGCTGTATTAACACTCACACCTTCATGCCACATTTTCCATCAACATGGTTAATCATTTCAGGTAGTAACTTTCCCTTTTCACAGAGAGGGAAACAGAACTTCCAAAGGCTAAGTGACTTGCTGTGTAGACACGATAGTGAGTAGGTGGAGCCTGAGAGATGATCCCAAGAGTTAGGGCTCACCCGTGTCTGAGTTAGTTGCCATTTTTTTCCGTATACCAGCTCGGTGTTTGGAGAGCATGTCACAATCCTTCTGTCGTCTTCCAGGGAAAGCTTCCTTGCAGAACCTTTTCCTTCTCACATTCCATCGTCATGGCAGCAGCGGGTCTCAGTGTTCTAATGATGGGGGCTTGAGCACTATTTCCTTGGAATGGCTTTGCTGGCTGCTGTCAGGGAGTTGGTGAGCATGAGTGGAGGTGAAGAATGTGAAAGGAACTGCTTCCTGTTTTCTCCAATAGGAGGTGTGTGCTTGGTACCCAACATTTTTTCCCTCAAGTAGGGGATTATTATAGCTATACCATTGGTCTACAAGTTTAGAGACTGTGGGATCAGGAACTGGGTCTCTAGAGGAGACTGTGGCCTTTGGATTGCTATGTGCATATCCTTTTTCTCTTCCAAAATATTTTTTAGTAAAAATCACCCATCCCGCAACACTTGTGGTGTTTAACCACACCGAAGAGGCAAAGGGATAATGGCCTGGGATGACTCAGGGGGTTATATAGATAGAGAATATTGGTGAAGGGAAGCTTCAGAGAGCTTTTTGTTGGTTTGGAGTCCAGGAGAGCTGAAGGAGAGTTCTGGTAGTTCCAGAGTACAGCCTTTTCTCTTTTTCCTACTCTGAGTATAGGTAGCCCCAATACAGCTAGATTCTTTTCCTTGCCAGATGCTGAGCTCATGTGTAAACCCAAAATTTTAGCTCTTGTTTTGTTTCCATTTCAAAACACCTTCTGCTCCAGGGGCCTCTGGAGACCTTTCCTTCTCTGCTTGCCAATAGGAGCATTTGGGTGTGTAATCTTGCCCTGCTTTTCTGTTACATAATCACAGTCACACACACACACACACACACACACACGCACACACTCTCTCTCTTTCTCTCTTTCTCCCCTCCTTTTTACCCTCCCCCTACAGAAAACATGAAGGAGTTGAAGGAGCCCAGGCAGCGTAAAGATAACAGGCGCCCAGATCTGGAAATCTATAAGCCTGGTCTTTCCCGACTGAGGAACAAACCCAAAATCAGGGAACCTTCAGGGACTGAGGAATTCAGGGATGGAACTGCCAATGACAGAGATACCTCTGCTCTGGAAAATGGAACCCAGGCCACTCGAGATCTCTGCAAGGGGGTGAACAGCCAACAGCAGAATGGCCCTGCAGACACCGAAAGGAAAGAACCCTTCCAGGGACAGGAATCTTGTCCTAAAGCCTCAGGGCAAGGTGATCGGTCTCTCAGAATTATTAAGAGAACAAAGAAACCTGATTTACAGATCTATCAGCCTGGAAGACGCCTACAGATTGCAAGAGACCTGGCTGGCCGAGTAGAAGAGAATGAGGTCCTCAATCAGGTAGAGCAGCTCAAAGTTGAAGACAGTGAGCCTGAAAGGGACTCTGGGAAAGATGGTGTCAAGGCCAGGCCCTTCCGAGATGAGGCAGAGAAGAACCAGAAGGCCACCAAGGGAGACAAGGGCAAAAAGACTGAACGGGGGGAAGGGACGAGGAAGGTCAACGATGATGCACTCCAGGGCAAGCCTGGCTCTGCCAAGCGTTACTCACGGTCAGACAAGCGGAGGAATCGCTATCGCACTTGTAGCACCAGCTCGGCTGGGAGCAACAACAGCGTGGAGGGGACTGGGCTCACTGACGGAAGTCGGCGCCGGCGTCAGGATCGGGCCAGAGAGAGGCCTCGTCTGCAGAAGCAGGTGTCTGTGTCTTCTACTGACTCCCTGGATGAAGACAGAACTGATGAGCCAGACCTCCTAGGACCCCGGAGGAGCTCTGAGAGGAGGAAGCCTGTGGACAGAAGCTGGTCTTGCCATGGGGAGGGTGAGCAGAGAAGTGAAGGGAAGGAGAACAGGGGTGGCCTTCGAGTGACTTTTGATGCAGAGATCCTGAACAAGG